AAAAAAAAAAAAAAAAAAAAAAAAAAAAGGCTTGATTACTCTTTTGGTCCCTCAATCTTTTTTAATTATTCAATTTGGTTCCTCTATTATTAAAAGATTCAATTTGGTCCCTTCATTTTCTCAAACAATATAATATGGTCCTTTTTGTCCAACTAAGGCTAACAACATTAACTTATTGTATACATAACACAATGAAAAAAGATTTGTATGACTAAGTGTTGAAGAGAAACATATTATTTTGTATTATTGATGTGAGAAAATATTTCTTAGATGATTACAAAAGAGGTCAACACCTATATTTATATAGGAGCTGAAGAATACACAGCAAGCCATTACAATGACAGAGTGCAGTGGAAGCTATTTCCTAAAAGGAGAAAAAACTAACATGACTGTGATAAAGACATATCACAGGCAAAAATAACAGAATACAACAGAAAGAATAACAGAATACAACATAATATAAAGGTGGAAAACCCTATACTCTAATACCTCCCGCAAGCTCAGTAGGGGTGATAAGTAGAGTCCACCACTCTAAGCTTGGCTGCAAATGTTGAAACCGTGTAGGGGATGGAGCTTTAGTGAGAATATCTACATATTGATATCTTGTAGGGACATGAATGACTTGGAGTTGTTTAGATATACCTTTTCCCAAACAAAGAATAGGTCTAACTCCATATGCTTAGTTCTTGCATGTAGAATAGGATTGTAAGCTAGGAAGACAATGCTTAAGTTGTCACAAAATTTCAGGAATAATGTGAGAAACTTTCAACTCATGTAATAAAGTTTGAATCCATATAGCTTCTGAGGTGGCAAGAGCAAGACTTCTATATTCTGCCTCAGTACTAGAACGGGCCCCCACTATTTGTTTCTTGGACCACCAAGAAACTAGGTTAGGACCAAGAAAAACAGTAGAACCAGATGTGGAGCACCTATCATCTGGATCAGATGCCCAATCAGCATCACAATAAGCTTGAAGAAGAAGAAGAGAATGCATAGGAGTAGGTCTGAGTAAAATCCCCCATGAAACAGTACCCTTTAGATGCCTTCAAATTCTTTTAACAGCTAGCCAATGTTGCTCAAGAGTTTAAGCCATAAGCTGGCAGACTTTGTTAACAGAAAATCCAATCTCAGGTCTAGCTATAGAGGCATATTGGAGAGATCCAATAACTAATTTGTAGTAGGTTGCATCAGTAAAATAATCAGATCCGTCTTTAGTGAGTTTCCCGCCACCAATCTTAGGAGATGTTATCGCTTTAGCTTCATTCATTTTTGTTTTGTTTAAGAGGTCCTAAATATATTTTCTTTGAGTGAGAATGAGAGAACCATTAGCTTGAGTTTTGACCTCTATTCCAAGGAAGTGGTCTAAATCACCAAGAACCTTGAGAGTAAAGATGGAATTAAGTCTAATAATGATTGATTCCATCTAAGGATTGTTGTTTCCCATAATTATTATATCATCCACGTACACATCTATGTAAACTACTGTTGTAGTTGTACCTGAGGAAAGAACAAATAGTGAGGGATCAGATTTACCTCCTTGAAACCCAATTGTAAAGAAATACTTTTAAACCTGTCAAACTAGGCACTAGGTGCCTGTTTGAGGACATATATGGCTTTATTTAGTTTGCAAACCAGGGTTTTGTTTGATGACTCAAAACCTGGAGGTTGAGTCATATAAACCTGATCTTCTAAGAAGTCATTCAAGAAAGTATTGTTAACATCCAACTGCTTCAAAGACCAATGATTAGTTATAGCAATAGTGATTGTAATAATTCTGACAATTATAGGCTTTACTACAAGAGAAAATACTTCATTCTAATCAGAATCCAAAGTTTGATGAAAACCCTTAGCAACCAAACGGGCTTTGTACTTAATTATAATACCATCAGAGTTTTCCTTGAATCTAAAAATCCATTTGCCTCCAATAGTACTTCGACTAGGTGGCAAAGGAACCAAGGTCCATGCATTGTTTTTTATTAAAGCATCAAATTCTTGTTTCATTGCAATATACAAAGTTGGGTCAGCCAAGGCTTGTTTAGTAGTTGTTGGTTTGATGTGAGTGAGAAGAAGAGTCGGTTGGACTCTAGGACAAACTATTCCAAATTAAGCTCTAGTTTGCATAGGATGGATACTGATAGATCTTGACATATTTTCTGAAGAGTGATTATTTACAAGAGAAGAGCTGTGTGTTATGGATGTAAGTATAGATTAACAGTTGGAATTGGAATTACCGGTAAATTGTTGGAGGTAGTAGTGGTTGAGGTAAATGGTGGTTGGGTAATAGTGAGAAGAAAGGGAATGGGTGAGGTTGTTGTTGAGTTGGGTGGTTTGTTTAGAAAATTCTTCTGATATAGAAACCGAAGTTCATTGAACATGACATATTTAGAAATAAAGATTTTGCCATCGATAGATAGACATTTATACCCTTTATGAGATATTGAGTAAACTAAAAAGACACTCTTGTGATCTAAACTAAAGCTTGTTTTTGTTGTATGGTCTCAGAAAGGGAAAACAAGCACATCAAAAAACTTTTAGGAATTTGTAGTCAAATAAGAGACCAAACAGCTTTTGGTAAGGTATCTTAAATTGAAGAGTAGAAGAAGGAAGCCAATTTATGAGATAGACACTTGTGGCAAAGGTATGATCCCAAAACTTAAGAGGAAGGGAAGCTTGAGCTAAAAAAGTTAGACAAAGATCAACAATATGACGACAATCCATTTTGATGACGAGTATGAGGACATATAAGTCTATGATTAACCCCTATTTGACCTAGATAGTTGGAGAAAGGTCTATATTCTCCTCCAAATCAGATTGGACAGCTTTAATAGGTGTTTGAAACTATTTTTCCACCAAGGTCTGAAATTGTTTAAATATGTTCAATATTTCATAATTATGTTTTAAAAAATAAATCTAGGTAACCCTAGCATGAGCATCAGCAAAAGCTACATAATATGAATATCCATCACTGGAAATAAAAAGGAGCATGTCCCCACAGAGCAGTGTAAATAAATTTATGAGGTTTGTCATATAATGTAGTAGACAAGGTAGAAGATAGTCTATGAACTTTTCCCAAGCACCAAGAGTTACAAAACTCAATCGAATTTTTGTTAATAGGTGGAAAATTACAAAGTTTGAATATGATTTTCTGGACATCTATACTAGGGTGTCCAAGTCTAGAATGCCAATTGGCTACAGAAGTAGTAGACAATGAAGTATTATTAACAACAGGGGTTGACTCAACAATCAACTTATTCATAGGTGGCCATGGACTTGATGTTCCTTGAAGCAGAGACGAGAATAGGCATAGACCATCTGATCCAATAGTGCATTTAAGAATGACCTCATCATCGTCCCATGATTTAACCACACAAAAGGTGGGGAAAATTCAAAGTAAACAAAATTATCCTTCGCAAATTGTCTAACACTCATCAGTTTTTTTACTAATGGCACGTACAAACAATAATAGTGTGTTTGGATGAGAAATTTTACAAATTCAAGGAATTTTAAATTCTTGGTATTTGAATTATTTTGATTTCAATTTCTATCATTCTTAAAATATTTTGTTTGGATGAGTCAATTCAAATTTCTTAAATTTTAAATTGTTAGGTTAAATATGATAATTTGATTCTATCATAGTAAAATTGATTTTAAAAATATATTTATATGTTGAGATTTTTAAATTAAATTTTATAAAAATAAATATTAATCCATTTTTAAATATTTAATAATTTTAAAAATTAATATTAGATAATATTTAATAATTTAAAAATTAATATAAGATAATATTTAATAATTTTAAAAATATTTTTGAATATCCAATAATTAAAAGAATGAAGAGATAAGATAAAATATATAGGTGAAATCAGAAGAAAAAAAATATGAGGAATTTCAAATTCTCCCATTTTTGGGAGAATTTGAAATTCTACTATTTTAAGGAATTTCACAAATGCTTGGATTTCAAATTCTTTGTGATTTCCTCATCCAAACAAAGCATTTCACCTCAAGAAATTTGAAATCTTTCAAATAAATGAATTACCCTATATAAATTCCTCGTCCAAACAAACCATAAGTCTTTGAGTATAAGAGGTGTTTTAGAGATAGGGGAATAGAATTTGGTAACGCCTGCAGATTGTATAGGAAAACCCTGTCCATTGCCAATAAGAATCTGATCTGGACCTTCAAAAGGGACCTGTTGTTGGATATAGTGTGATATGTTTATAACATGATGAGATGTTCCCAAGTCTGGATACCAATTTGAATGATATGGATTAGTTATAGTCACCAAAGCCTGAGGTGGTTCTGGTGGTTTAGGAGCCATAACAGCCTTTGGTCTGATGTATTGATTATGAGAAATGGTGGATGGCGAAGGAGTCTGTTGATAGTGATAGGTATTCCAAGAGGGATAATGCCATTGTACCATAGTTTGTTGATATGATACGTCTATAGGTATTTGAGGAAGATAAATTCTCCTCAAACTGATGATAGCAAACTAGTGCATCATGTCCATATTTGTGATACACCTGGGCATTGAACGCCAGAATCTGTCGCGACCTCCATGTCCACCCCGGCCAAGACTACTACAATCGGATCTGCCACCACCATGAGGGCTGAAATTCCTATTGGAAAAATCATTTTGAGGTTGAGTAGATGCTTCTACAATGTTTTTCAACCTGAGATTGAATATTAAGAGTGGGAGAAGCATCTACAACATTAACGGAAGCTATTTGTTTCTTTCTAAATTTCTCAATTCACGCTTCATGTGCAAGAAGAGTTTCGACCTCATCAATTGATAGAGGTTCGATTTTGCTACGTATGACTGAAATTGAGGATTTGCAATCCTTAGGAAGTCCTTCAATAATCACATCAAGATGCTCGCGTGTTGGAGTAGTATCTCCAATTGCAGAAAGCGCATTCACAAGCACTTGAATATGTGGAAGAAAATCGTAGTGATTTTCTAGGATTGTCTTGCTTTTGCATTCGTATGCAAATGAAAATAGGAATGTATTTTATCCCATAGTTGCCACAACGATTTGCATCCAATGACTCTCACAAGAATTTCCTAAGAAACGGACAATGGAAGCCATGATAATAGAAGAGTAGAAGTAGATCTTGTTGTTCTCGATTGAGATATTCTTCGGAGACACGATCTTGATCCCTATCTTCAATTTTAAGATACTTTTGTGGAATCTACGGATTCACAAAATATCATGTAATCAATGACCTTTGATTACCGATTCTACTTGTGGACACAACAAGTAGTTCTTTGAATCAAATTTCTCAAAAACAGAATGAGAGAAGGTGACGGTGTTCGATGAAATTTCTGAGCAAGGTGGAGGGGAAGGAGGAGGAAATAAGAGTTCATGGATCAGGGATCGATCTCAGCTCTAGACACCATGTTGAAGAGAAACATATTATTCTATATTATTGATGTGAGAAAATATTTCTCAGATGATTACAAAAGAGGTCAGCAACTATATTTATATAGGAGCTGAAGAGTTCACGTCAAGCTATTACAATAACAAAGTGCAATGGAAGCTATTCCCCAAAAGGAGAAACGACAATGTAACCCGACTGTGATAAAAACATATATCACAGGCAAAAATAACAAAATACAACAAAAAGAATAACAGAATACAACTTATTATAAAAGAGTAAAATCCTATACTCTAATACTATGTGTACAAAAGATTGGTCTCAATTTGACTAAAAAGACCAAATTGCATCATTTTAGAATATTAAAAGCCCAAGTTGGACATTTTAATAATAGAGGACCAAATTGAATAAATTAAAAAAAAATGAGGGACCAAAAGTGTAATTAAGCCTAAAAAAGATGCCATACAACAAGTGTCTAAGTTAAAATTCAGAATCAATATTACAAAATGATGGAAAAACTAATGAGGATGTCACATACAAAATACAACTGGGATGGCTAAAATAGAGAAAGGGTTTGAGGGTTGTTTGTGATTCCAATGTACCTACTAAACTCAAAGGGAAGTGCTATCGTAGAGAATGTTGGACATTAAAGGGACAAGAGAAAAAGATGAGAGTAGCATAAATGAAAATGTTATTGTGGATGTGTGGCCATACAAAGAAAGGATGGGTTATGAAATCATAGTCTAAGAGGAGATATTGGCAATGTTACCAATTGAGGAAAAGATGACAGAAAATTGGTTAAGGTGGTTTGAAACATACAAAGAAGGGCACTAAAAGCAGTAGTGAGGAGAGTAAATTGCATGGTTCTTGTTGGAGATCAGCGCATATCAATCAGCATCTGTTGGAGATCAGCATATATCAATTAGAATATTCAATTCTGATTTGTACTGCCCATAATAGGATTTAATGTTAATAAGATCAATTTTATTTCCCCTCCTTTAATTATTTAGATACAGCATTTATAGGGAGAATTATTTCCCAGATTTTCAGGGATAGATTAGTGTGCAGATTTATTCCCTTGTATTCTATTTATACCACTTTTGTATTATTCCCAAATCAGGGAAATATACATTATATTTTTCCGCAGTTCTTAATCTTGTGAAAACAAGAGGAAGACCAAGAAGGACATTAGAGGAAATTGTTATGCAGGATTTCATGGTAAATAACATCTTAGAAGATTTAATCTTTAACCGAGTCAAATAACATCATGTGATCTATCATCCACGTAGTTGACTTCCTAAGGAGATAAAGTTTTTGTTGTTGTTGTATGGCACCAAATCAAATAGTCAGCTTATTTACTAAACAATGATTTCATCAACATATTTTATTTAGAATACGATTTAAGTTGTGTAGATGTACCAAGTATATGTTGGAAACCAATTGCAAGGTATGAGACTAAAGTTTCACATTGAAGTATGAGACTCTAGCAAGGGGTTTATAAGGCCTTTGGGTCTTCAACTACAACAGCTAGTTTTTGTGTAGTGGTTCTCAAAATGTTTTTATCAATATACTATCTCTCCCATCTATTCATTATCAACGTCTTGCTACAAAGCTGAATGTTTCAAAGATTAAATCTAAGACCCACTAGCTACCATGTGAATTAACCAGTTCATCATTCTAAAATATATGCAGCAGATACAATACATGATCAACCCCCACCCCGCAAAATAAAAGAGAAATAGTTGAAACGCACGAATTACCTTTAATTTTTAACATTTAATATTTGGTGCAATTGGCCCCACTAAAGTTGGTTATTTCACCTGAGGTACTATATATGTTCATTCACTCTCTTTCTTAAGATAAGATTCGCCATCAACGTTTTCATTATTTGTTATCTGCAGTTGCAAGCACAGTTTACATGATCCATAAAAGGATTTAACAAACTTCAACCATGCTTACTAATGGAGGAGAAAAAGAAAAACCTGCAGATAGAATACCCAACCTGTGCAGTCAATGACTTTATGACCTCTTTTGCTGATTTACACTTTCCAGCTTCATCTGCAGCTACTGCAGTCACCTCCTTCAATTGTTTTGATGTTCTCTCAAGTTCAGCCTCTAAACTTTTTGACTTACGAGTAAGATCTTCAATCTAACCAGTATATTTGATAAGTTATGAGATGATTATACTTCAAACACTCAACATTTATGGATCATAAACAAATAATCAAAATAATGTTAGAAAGTTAAAAACTAAAATAATTTTAATTCAAGTGTCACATAATTTTTTAGTTCAATTATCATATGTGACTATTATACATTCTACCCAAACCTGAGCAGGGAATACAAACTAGTAAATGATAATGCACTATAAGAAATTGGTGCAAATGGTGCCGTATTTGGATTCTTTTATTACATCAGAAAGTTAAAATGGTCCAATATACGCAGAACATTTTCATCCTAGAAATTTTCTTTTGTGTGTGCGCATTTTTTATGTTAATGTCCCCATATCCTCCAAACTCTCTAATTATCTTGTTCTCATTTTAAGCAATCTCTTTTTCTATCCAAAAGAATCTTATAAGTTATAACAAATCAAATATAATGGGACATACAAATTCTACAACTTAATCAACAATTTCATCAAAAATATTTTTTTTCCAAAGCATCAGGCCCAAACAGATCAAAATTAGTTGCACACAGTATATATGTACAACATTGAAAAGCCCCTTCCCTTCCAACAGTTTCATGTGGGAAAGAACATATGCATGAAGCAGGAATACCAAAGTCATCATAAGAAGACAAGGTTAATGAAAAAGAAATATATCTATTATATTGTAACCTCATCAGGATTAAGCAAGGTTCCCAAGAAGAATAGATACACATGTGAATCAGATATATATGATCAGGATTACCTGTGTTCTCAAACTTATAGCTTCTTGACTTAAAATATCATTTTTGCGCTTTAAATCATCATTGATATCTTCATAAGATTGTCTTGGACTTGACTTTGATGAAACTGGAGATGTTGATTGACAAGATAATCTTGTAGCAGGCTCAGAAACTGAACGGTGTTTCCTAGAATCCACAGAAAGAGAATTTGATGATTTTGAGGGAGAAAAACCCTTCGGCTGTAATTTTCCATTCAAAGCTGGGAAAAGATGGCTATATTGTGAATCTGGAAGCTTTGATTGACTACTTTCTGTTTGAAGAATAGAACCAAAAGAGGAAAGCCTTAACAGTGCTCCCTGTATTTTAGTTGCTCTATTGTCTTGAAAACTCACACTTCTCAAGCTAGTTGTTTGCACCGAGGATACTGATTCAGCAGTCTTCTTAAGTTTAAGATAACAGTCATCACAAACTCGATACGGCTTGGTGGAATTAGGAGCAAGGGAAGCTTTCATAGATTTCTTGCTGGTGCATGAATTGCAAAACACAAGTCCACAATTGTAACAATTATGACGTTTTCTTCTAAAATTAAATGGATTACGACATCCAAAACATGTAGAATGATCAACACTTGGTATCCATTTATGAAGACATACAACAGCAGTAAAGTTTGAACCACAAAAAATGCTTTTCACTTGTTTATCTTTTAAAAACTCAACAATTGTGGGTTTATTCCTGTGATCATTGTCTCCATGGCCTAATTGCCCATTCAAACCCTTTCCCCATGTGTAAACCTCGGCCTTGGAGGTCAGGACTGCAACATGATATGAACCGCAGGCAATATCTTCAACAAAACTGTCAGCAATTTTATCTTGAACACGTTTAGGGGCTTTCCCATCTGATGCAGGACAGCCAAGTTGTCCATAAGCTGTACTTCCCATTGTATATACATGTCCTGACGTTGTCAAAGCAATCGTAAGACTGTGTCCACAAGCCACTCGACAAATGTTTTCACTACTCAATGCAATTACACACTTGGGAACCAATCTAGATTCCCTATCTTCATGTCCAAGTTGGCCTTTATCTCCATCACCCCAGGTATACAGTCTTCCACTAGATGAGCGTATAGAAGATTCCACAGATTCATTTATTGCCTCAACAACTGCAGCAGTGTGCCAAACACCACATGCAACCCTGGTTGTTCTCAAACCTTTCAAAGTTTCTACTTCCCGAGGAACATTTGTGCTACTATGATCTCCATGGCCTAAGGCACCAAAAGTTCCATCACCAAATGTGAACAACTGCCCAGCTGATGTAACAATAGCTGTGTGCCAAGGTCCACAAGACACATATGATACACGTAAGCCCTCCAAGTTACCACTTACTTTCTTAGGAATCCAGTGACTGACTTCATTTCCATGCCCAAGCATGCCAGAATTGTGAGTACCATCACCCCATGTATAAAGATCCCCAGAATAAGTAACAGCACAAGTATGATATTCTCCACATGCTACTAACTCAATATTCATGCCACTAAGAGTGTCAATGTGCTTAGGCTGAAAAACATCCATTTCTACACCATGGCCAAGCCTACCTCCTGACTCCTCCCCCCAACTAAATATCTCTCCCTGCTTGGTAACTAGAACAGCATGTCTGTAGCCACAACCAATACTATGAACATCTAGAACTGACTTTGATTCCAATACCTTGGGAAGGAATGCATCCATCTCAGAACTAGATAAGGCTCCAACTCTATGTACACCACCAACAAGAATTCCATTGCCAATACCTTCTCCCCAAATAAAAACATCACCTAGAGCATCAAAATCTTCATGATAAGAACCCTGGCTGGAGGAACTTACAGCACTAGATAAACTAACTCGATATGCCTCAGATGCAGAATTTCGATTGCTTGAGTTATCCACAGACCCAGAGGATAAAGAGGAATTTGCAATTGATTCAGCTTGACTGCAGCTCTTGCTAGCTGCAGTGTAAGAAATTATTTCAGAGAAAGCCTTTACCCATCTATTTTGCAAATCACAAGCACCTCTGCCAGTGCCAGCAACACCAGGGTCCTGTTGTTTAAAATTGGAAACAGTGAAAAATATAGCAAATTGTCAATGTCTATCTGAACTGTATGAAAAGATCAAAGCCATTACAGAAAATGGTGTAATTGATGGAGTGGCTGTTCTTCTTGTGCTAGAAATTGGACTTTCAGTATACAGACTGTCATCAGTTCTTGATTCAAATCTCCACTTGCGACTGTTAACTCGAGTAATTAATGCCTTAAGACCAACAAACCAGATTTCAGCTTCATCTTTGTCCTTGCATATCTGTACATACATTAGCATTGTGTCAAATCTTGAAGTTTACAAGGTAGAAATTCCCACATCTTACTCAACACACAACTTAATAACTAGCATACTAGTTTTTCACAACCAGGACAATGAGAAGAAAAAGATAATGAGACAATCTTCATTATATGCCTAGTAGGTTTAATTTGAATAACAATCATGCAGAAAGAGCACGCACCAAATCCAAGGACCTATCATTGTATATAAGAGAAAATGATTGATATTCCTTTTCAGGCCGTGGATACCGCTGAAATGTTGCCTGGATGATAACACAAATCAAAAAAATGAGTATGGAGAAGTAAGCCAATGGAAAAAATAAAGTACAAAGGATCAGTTAAACATATGTATTTTTCAAACCATTCATACAAAGAAAAGTCGAAAAGTCATTTTAGAACAAAATATTAACTCAGATATAGACATATCAAGACCATAATTGAAATTGCAATAAAGGCACCTAGTATTAACCAATAACCAGAGAAAACAATCTCCAGGCTTTCTTCAAACTTACAGTTCGCTGCCCAGGAATGATCCTTGAAACTGTGCTGAGCTTTATCTGTTTCTCTTCCTTGCCAGAGTACCATAAGAGTAGAGACTCGTCCTGAAACCAAAACCAAAAATTGAATAGTGTAGAACAGAACATGCATGCTGATTTTTCTTTTCTTAATTTTAAATTTATTTGAAAAAATACAATATATATATATATATATAGAATTGATAAGTGAATCGAATGGGATCAAATCAGAAACAAATAAATAAACACATTTTAAACATTCCTGGAAAAACTTAAGTTTAATACACAAAAAATAATATAGAATATTTCTGTGTTATAACATTGATAACTCAAAGCATCTAAGGCAATGCTTTTGACCTTTTCTTTTTCTCAAGCATAATTTGCAAGTTATACATAGGCTGTTTGGCATATAAGATTATTCAAACTAAATTCACGTGTTTCTGAACTACTGTTCACTGCTGAACTATATATTAATTTAACTACTGGTTTTAGTCTATATTACCATGTTTTTTGTTGTCAACATATCTATAATAGTGGCCTAATTGTCACTGAGTTTATCACTTTCAGTTAGCAAACCGTTAATGTAGTCATTATCTTATTAACACTAAGGTACAAAACTATAAATTAAAATAAGGAGGTAGTTTCATGTCCTTTGATGGGCTAATACAAAATTTCAGGAGAAGAAATACCAATATAAACTTACATTGGAAAGCCTAAACGGGCAGAACTTCGGCTTCCCTCTTCGCCCGTACTTCAGCAGATATGAGCCTTTCTTAAGAGATGTAATTGCCTACAAATGGAGCACAAAAGTTAGTCTTCCGTCAAAGAATATATTCCCATGACTGCAAAACCATGAACCACAAGCAAAAAAACTCTGCTTCCAGCTTCAACCCCTCAAGTCAGCAACCATTATAAATTATTCATTATTCACCCCATTAAAAGCACATTAGCTTAAGCAAGACCATAACAACGAAGAACTCGAAAATATGGAGAATAGCACACACAAGCAAGCAAATTTTCATTTTCTATTTTGTCAGAGTTGTCATTGACAAACAGAATAAAACAATGGAAAGAAAGCAACATCAATTGGTGAACCTGCTCGATATCTCTCTCGACAACACCAGTTTTCTGAGGATCAGCCATTCAAGTTGCAATAAGAGTCGCTTCCCAAGAATGGACCCAATACCCATTTGAACAACAACCCAAAACAAAGCATATACCATAAAGCAACGTCCAACCTCTCCCCATGAAACCCGATTCAGCGCTTTCAAATTAACCAAGAGAAGCTCCTCTCATCTACCCCATAGCTCAACGGCACCGTACGGTTCATATAACCGCAGGGAAAATTCGCCTCCGGTTCCTCCAGTCACCACTTTCAGCTCGAAAAAAACCCTAGAAAACGCGTCCACGCCGGAGCCTCGGAAATTCCTCGGGCTCTCTCTAACGGAGCGCCGCGAACGCCGCAAATGCAGGTCGGAACGGCGCGGCGCGATTCGAAACGAGCGACATTGCGAGGAATCCTCGGAGAACGCGAAAAACCTAACCGTTTCGGGAGATGTCGGGGTCGCCGGAGCCGCGGCGGAGGGAATCGGCGGAGCTGAGGGGTGCGATGAGAGGGCGGCGGTGGCGAGAGACAATGCCTTGGTTTTTTTTCTGAGCTGGAATTCGCGGAGCTTCGTTTGAAAATTGGCAACACGCGAAAGCACGCGAAAGGGGTCTCTCTCTCTCTCTCTTCTGAGAGGAGCTAACTGTTTTTTCTGCCGGTTAATGCCACGTCAGCAACTGAAATCTGGGAGATAGGGATGGCTGGTTTTGTCGTTTTCTGGAGCTTCGGGGGGACAAATGAGTCCAATTTCGGGATTTGAAACGACATGCCTTGCTGGTGTCGCTCTCTTCGGGGACTTTGATTCCCTGTGTTTTCGACTACTCTATGCCTCTCTTGGGATCCCCTCGTAGATGCATCCAATGGGATAAAGGGATGGGGGTACACGGTACACCGTGATCGTTCCCACACCCTGTTATTCTAGGGTGGATTTCGCGGACTGAACGGGACTAGGCACTTGGTTTTGTTGACTAAGGAAAGAAAGAAATTAGGGTAATGAACGTAAACTATGGGTTCTTTGAGTAAACTCCCTTAAATAAAATAAAATAAATTTTTTTATAAGTTAAAAATAACTTTATGTACAAATTAATTTGTGAGTGTTGTTTCTTATTAGATTCTTAAAAAAGAAATCACATTATGTAATTGTAATATTTATATTAATGGAAGAGATTTCATTTAATTTTGATATTTTTATTTTTTTCATAGACATGATTCATGTGATATTTCAAAGTTGACAATCAGAAATTTACGTAAAGTGTATGTTTTTTTGTTAAAGTATCAAGCATAAGGAGAGACATTTTATGTGACATTCTAAGTTTTTTTTAAAATTAATAAAAGAGTTTTAAATTAATCAATTGAGTTTCTGAAAATAATCTATGTACTTTTAACATAAATGAGTTTTTTATTATATGGTTTGGTGAAAATTGTTTTATTTGTAATTGTTTTAACCAGAAGAGTTAACATAAGGTTAGGAGTTATTTTGATAAGGGGGTCAATTTTTTTTTATATTTTTACCTTACGCTTTTTCTTTTTCTCAAGAACTCCAAAAAGAGAATGTGTTAGCATCAAAAGTGCGCCTTATGTTAAAAAAGTTAGTAAATAGTCTAACCCAATCTCATAAAATTGACTTATAAGATGATAATTATTCTTCACTTATATACATTATTATGGTCTTATTACTAAACGATGTAGAATCTCTAACACAACCTCCTCATGTCAAGGGTTGAATATCCCAAACATGAAGTTTGTAGAATTGTAAATTTATGGGTGGTCCAATAACAACCCAATAATGAATGGTTTGATAAACCCACTAACAATCAATAATCAGTAGGATTAAGGATATCAAAAAAACTTGTACCCATGGATATCCATAGATAAAATTCGTTATGAATACAAAATGGATGTTATAAATGGGTAACGATGGATAATGGGTATAGGAATTTTCTATACTCGTATGTTAATGGGACAGGTACTAGTATAATAGTATTTGTACTCGCGAGTACTTACTAAAATTCAATTACATAATTACATATTAAATTTGTTTAAACTTATGGGAATAGAGTACTTTAAATTAAATTTAGTTTTCAAATCGAAGAATCTTGATTAATAAAATTATGTATAATATTTGAATAATTTAAGTTTTAACTTTTAAACTATTATTTTTAAAGAAAATATTAGAATAAGTAGAAATTATTATTAAAATATTTTTAAATTTTTATTTTTTAAAAAATAAATATTTACGAATACTTATGGGTAGCCATAAATATTGAAAATGTATGTGGGAATCCGCATAATAGATACCCGTAGGTATGGGACGGATATTTATCTAATGGGGCAAGTAATCTGCCTCGTTCTGTTGTCATAACTCAACTTTACAAAAATCGATTCGTAAGATGAGGATTGTTCTTTGCTTATATACATTACTATGACGTTATTCCTAGATGATGTGGGATCTCCAACACACCTTACAAGCTAGTTTACATTCTTTGGAGATTTTACATCATTTAGGAAGAAGGTCATAATAGTGTATATAAATGGGGAGTTCTCCCCACCTTACAAGCTCATTTTGTAAGGATAAGTTAGACTCTTAACCCACTTTCTTAAAGCCTTAGAGATCTCTGTTCTTCATCAAGGATTCATCAAGGTAATGGAGAATAAGAATTCTCTCTCTAAGGTGTGGGTTTTTTGTTTGGTAGTAAAATTGGCCACAATCTCATTTTTACTCTTATGTGCTATGTGGGAGAAATCTTGAGTTTTGATCTATATGTTGAGAAACTATGCTTTATATGATTCTTCTACATTTAGTGTGATGATAATTTTGTTTTGGATGTTGTGAAGTGTGAATTATGACATCCAAAATCATTACTAATATATTTAGATTTTTAACATTTAATTTATTTAAATATAATAATTTTGGTGAAAGTTAATCAATAATAAAATTTATAAAAAAAACATGTATAAACGCAACAGTATTTAAATCATTGCATATTAAAACATGTAACTGCAATTATTTCAATTACACTTTATATAGGATAGTGATAGATTGAATCTTTATCAAAAAAAAATAAGCATATTAAAGGAGTATGCTAATTTAAAAGATACATAACTTTATATGCAAGAACTTAAGGTGAGTCATATCATTATACATATAAAGTATGCTACATACGTTCATAATTGTTTTTCAAAAAGAAGTAGAAGATGCAACCCCCTACAAAATATAAGATATAAACACTAATTACATTACCGGTATTAACAAACAGAGTATAGAAATTTTTCCACCCCAAATATACATCCAAAAAGGAAATAACCTATACTCAAAGCAATCTACCCCAAATAAGAGAGGAAAATAGACAACCTATACAAACTAACCCTCCCTAAACAACCTATCACATAAAATCTTGTTTCTTTGGAGTCATGTCTTCAAAGTCAGAGTCTCCTTCATCAACATACACCTTAACTCCAATATCTTGTTGGAAAGTCTTCTACGGAGGTCTACCATAAGCATCATGATCAAAGAGCTCCTGAAGAAACCTCAATGCATTTACAAGTCTCTCCATGCCATTGTAAACATAATAGTATCGTACATGATGAATCCTCATATTAGGTGTCCACCCAAAAGGCATCATAAAAGTCACATTCACCTCTATAGTGATCTAAGGCTAGGGTTGTTCTCCTAAGGTATTTATTAAGAACTTATAATAACTAAAATGTACATGATTTATAGCTTCACAAGCTTCCTCATAGTTGTAATGAAACTTAACAAGATGAAGGGTCCTTTGGGATGTCGTCATCTCATGAAATATGGGTTGTAAGGGTGAGTTTCCTCCGCTCCTCAAACTCCACAAACACAATAACAAGCATATAGTAATATATATAAAAATAAGCAAATATACTATCACTTAAAAATTCTTAATGGTTTTATCAACAATTTACTTTCAAGTATCTAAAAAAGGATCATCAACTCATGTCACACATGGATAATGCTGATTGATTGACGCTCCAGACATATACAATGTCAGTGCATACGATCCCTTGGCTAAAAGTACAACTTGCATTAGCATTAGAAATGGAACTGAGGCCTATGATTTCTAACACGTCAAATGTGTACACTAAATGTCGGTTAGATTCACCACTTTCCAACTTCCCAAGGTCAAATGACCTTTTTTTTCCTGTACCCCAATGTATCTTTGTAATTATTCACACATCCACCTAATACTTTCTTATACCATAATCTAAAATTTATTATTTAATATATAATTCCCCGTGCCATAATAATCATTAGAGCAATTGAAAGAAAATAATACAAAACATTTCTAGCATTTTAGCACTCAAAAGAAACTAAATTACAAGAAAAGTCACATAAACAAACAAACAACATAACGGCTGTAAATTCATATATTTCAAACATTTCAAATCAACTAAGCAATGTCCATGTATTACATATCATCTTAACCAATATGTCTAAGGTTGAACACCTTCAGATCCAACTAAACCACACAATCCAATATATTCAAGAAATAAGTTTGCAAGTCATAGTTAAAATTACCAGAGTTAACACTTTCACGATCTTATCAATTTGAAAACTATCCTAGGTTTCAAAGTAAACACTTCATATCATAATCATAAATTTTAGATTATAAAACAATATACATCGTGGTTCTTCAAACTATACAAAGCATAGAAAATTCATAAATTAACTGTTTTATCGATTGATACATGTTATTTCAATTTTTCTATAAAAAACAATTAAAATAAACCTTAATACTTTTCCAAAGGTTATCTATGTTCCAAATTATTTTTTGAGGTTAAAATAGCAAAATTAAATCATCTTAGAAAACAACTACAAAAAAAAAACAACAACAGGTGCATCAAAAATGCCAAAACTTGATTATTAGTGCTAAATTGCTCATAAATTAGTCATTCCCCATATCTCAACTTAAAATATTCAAACCCAAAATGAATAAATTAAAGTTAAATGTAAAAAATAAAATAATCAAATGTTAATGAACTCAAATTTGAAATGTACTTGTGTCATCCTTATCTATATAACCAAAATGTTTAACATGATAGTCTCTTGTACTATCTCTAGAAAATCCTATAGGTTTATGTACAATGGGACCTATTGATTGTCCATACCAAACACAACAAAAAAAATGTTTGTGGTAGTTAAATAATCACTTTCTAGCGGTTAAAAATCATCACAAATGGTAATTCTGATGTTTTAAACAACTGAATTTGCATACATCAAAAACAGCTTTCGACACATTTTAAGTAAGCGTTGGTGTAGGTCGTCACAAATGTTTGATAATTATTGGCGATTTTAAACCGCTAGAAAGCGCATTTGAAAAAAACATTATAAGAGATCTTTTAATTCATTAAGTTTTATTTTGTTGGTTTAAAATCCTTAAAATCTGCATTTTGTAGTTGATTATATTTTGCATTTATTGGTGATTTAAAATTGTCAAAAAGTATTTTATAGTACTAGGAAAAAATAGCACTTCAATGTGCTCTAAACCACACATTCATGTTTTCACCACTTGACAAGATCAAGTATCTAGTGGCTGGCAGAACACCATGTCATTGAAATAAAGTGCAGTAACAAAATTTATATACATTGTCTAATACTCCATTAGAGACATAAATGAAGTACCTTCCACATTTCAGATGAAGGTTTCTCGATTCTCACTTCATTCATTTTCAAGCATAATAAGATTCTTGTTAAAAA